ATTCCATCACTTCCACCTCTGGATTTCCCCCAGGTTCCTGGAGTCTGGAAAAAATAAAAATAAGTAGGAAACAGAGCAAATGAGTTTCAGACTCCACAGACTGCAAATGAGTTTCTTCCACCTGTAGTTCTCCCTTCCATTCCCCACCCCACTTTAGTTTGTTGTTGTTTGTTTTTATAAAGTTGGGTCTCTGGCCAGGGCCCACCGCCCTCACCGTTGGATTGATTCAACCTTGACATTGGACCCAGGCTGAAACCAGTCTTTCCCAGTGACTAGTCACAGGACGAGGCTATATTTTAATGGGGAAGAGTCCCAAGTTGGAGGCAACAGGTTGTTGAGAAGAGCCTGGCCTGTGTATTTCCAATTTATCTGCAGCTGAGAAATTTAACTGTAACACGGGAAACTTCAACTAGGATGATCTTCATCCTCCCATTATTAAACTTTGTTTCACGGCCTTCGGGTCAGTACCCCTTCTTCAGGAAAGCCTTTCCTGGCTGCTAGATTCATCTAGACCCCAGTTCCCACTCTGCGTGCCCCCATAGCCTGGGGACTCACCAATACATAAGGTCATTACTTACTGTCTGCTTCCTCCATAGGATAGGAACCTCATGAGGACATCTGTTTGACACCATCCCCAACAGCCACCCAGTGCCCACCACATAGGAGGCCCTCATTAGATGTGTGTTGGATAGAAGAATTAGTGAATGCTCCTGTTGACTGACTATTCCTCTTTGTCATTCTTTTCTGTTACCCAGAAAGTAATCTGAGTGTCAGTTGCTCTGTACCAAAGAAACTCACTTACCTGGTGGTTCTCAAACCTGGTTCCACATTGAATGATACTTGCAAGGGTTTTGATAAGACTGATGTCAGGGTCCTATTCACTGAGACTGTGACTTCATTGGTTTGGTTCACGGCTTGGGTGTCAGAATTTTTGAAGCTTCTCCGAGGACTCTTAATGTGCATCCAGGTTGAGAACCTCCGCTTTTTTAGAACTCATCCCTGGCGTTGGTCCTTATAGGCTTGAAGCAGTCCAGGTGAGAGAGGCCAGGGATATAATTCATGGAATATTGCATGGTTCCTGACAGTTTAAGAGGTACTTTCACATCTGTTATCACATCTGATAATAACAAGCTGAGGGATCTACTCTCTGGTTTAAATACTCCCTTTATGTTGATGATTCTTGAAAATCTACATTCTGTACTGGCCTCCAACTGAACATACGAGTATCTAGACTGCGAGACAGAACTGTCTTACTGGTACCTCACACTCAGCAGCCCCAGCGGTGAGCTTGTTACCCTCCGTCCTGAGGGGTTCACCCCTTGTGTTACTGAGTGTGTTAGAGCAAAGCACCATCCTCCCATGGCCGTGGCCTCCTTCCTCCCATACAAGAGGCTTTGAGCTCTTAGCCCCTCGCTCTGCCCTTCCTTTCCCTTCCCGTGGCCACTGTCCCAGGTCGGAGTCCTTCATCACTCCTTGCTGGCTTGTTGCTGGTGCCTGACTGACCTCCCCACGGCCCTTCTCTCCCCTCTAGAATCACCAGAGCTGCCTACCCTGGCACAGACTGGACTCCATCCATCTCTTCCTGAGTTTCCCTAGCACTGACAGTCAAGTTCAAACACCCCAACACACCCTTTAAGACTTTGTGACCTGGTCCTAAGATGTGCTTCTTCCAGGAGGTGCTTCTCAGCTTCACTCCAGCCGCACTGCACAACTTAGGTTCCTGAGCTTGTGCGGGTGCTTACCGCCTTTATGCATCTGCTGTTACCACATCGTCTTAGAAGGCTTTTCCCTACAGTTTCCAGCCTTTCAAAATCCTTCATCTCCAGTGATGCCCTCTCTGAGATCCTCCTCAAGCCCTTTTATCAAAATTAATTGTTCTTCCCTCCAGCATCTTAAGGGTCCCATCAATGAATTATATTACAGTTGACCCTTGAACAACACAGGTTTGAACTGCATTTGTCATTTTGTTGTTGTTTAGTCCTTCAGTCGTGTCTGACTCTTTGCAACCCTGTGGACTGTTAGCCCACCAGGCTCCTACTGTCCTTGGGATTTCCCAGGCAAGAATACTGGAGTGGGTTGCCATTTCCTTCTCCAAGGTATCTTCCTGACCCAGGGATTGAACCCAAGTCTCCTGCATTGCAGGTGGATTCTTTAGCCACTGAGCCACCCAAAGTGGGGGTGGGGGTGGCGTGTAGAATTGCATAGGTGCACTTATACACAGATATTTTTCAGTAGTAAATACTACAGTCCATGGTCAGTTGAATCTGTAGATGTGGGGGAACTGTGGATACAGAGGTCTGTCTATAAATTACATTCAGATTAACCCTGAGTTGTTCAAATGTCAACTGTATTCTCTTTGAGTTCATAGTCAGGGATTGAGATTTATGCATCTTTGTTTCTCTGAGTATCTTATCTGGAGTGGGCACTTAAATGTTTGTTGAGTTGAAAGTAGGAAAAGCAGGTGTTAACATCCCTCGAGAATACACTGAGGTGTGGATAACTTGCTGAAGGGCATTCTAAAGCACTTTGGCTCAGACTTGAAATAGATAGATCTTGGATAAGCAGAGAGGAAACAGGCTTCTAGAGACACTGGAGCCAGTGTAACTCTTGTCTGTCATCCTAGCCTGGAGATAGACATGATCAACACTATGGGCCTTTGCATACGAAGAGATTCTGTGGGATGTGGGGTGGGGCTTTGGGTCTCCCCACCAGGTTCTTGGGACTGATCCAAGCCTGTCTGTGGAGAAGAAAGGTGCTGATAACTCGGACAGGTGAGAGTTCATAACTGTGAGTGTGTACGGGTGGGATGAGGGAATCCTAGTCGGCTTACGTCACCCGTGTTCAGGAGAGGGCTGAGGAGTTTGGTTTCTTTTTTAATAATGATGATTAACATGAAACAAGTGCTGACAGTGGGCCAGGTACTGGCCAGACCCCGGAGGGGCCCACACGGGGACTGACAGTCCATTGTCTGCACCCGCTGGGAGGGAGCCGGGCCTTCTGTGTGGTCCCAGTTGCGCATGGAGCAGACGGGCTTCAGAACTACCAGGTCTGGCTGAAAACTGAGGACGGGGTTCAGATTATATGCCTTAAATGAAGGGTCTCCTTCCACCCAGCACTTCAGTGTCTGTCTCCGTCCCTTGTGGGAACAGTGGACTGAGAGTGTGTGTGTGTGTGTGTGTGTGTGGTCAATTGTTTCCTCTGCATGCTCTGCTGACTGCTCTGGTTCCACCTCTTATTCTACCAGGGTCTCTTCCTCTTGATTGTCCCCGAGCCAAGTCCCAGGCCCCCAGGTCCTTTGTGGCACTGCCTGCAGTGGTGCTGGAGAGTGATGGTTTTCACTCAGCACCGCTCCCTTTGCAGGGGAGAGGGTGGTCTGTGAGGAGCGGGGATTGCCCGGCTTGAGAACGGACTGCAGGGGGAAGAGGCGTGTTCCTCACCAGGCTCGGGGAAGGCCAGGGCGTGGGGCTTAGCTGTGCAGCTGTGATCTCTGGATCAGTCTAATACCGCGACTAGGGGTACAGATTCTGTAACCCTCCGTCTCCTGGGAGTAGCCGTAATTTTTATTCAAGCTTATGTTTCTTCTTCTCCATTTATTCGCCTTTATAATTTTACTTATTTGGCTGTGCTGGGTCTTCACTGTTGCACAGGCTTTTCTCTGGTTGTGGTGAACAGGAGCTGCTTCTAGTTGTGGTGCCTGGGCTTCCATTGTGCTGGCTTCTCTTGCTGTGGAGCGCGGACTCTAGAACACAGGCTCAGTAGTCGCGGCACACAGGCTTAGTCGCTCTGCGGCATGTGGGATCTTCCTGGATCAGGGATCGAACCCGTGTCTCCTGCATTGGCAGGTGGGTTCTTTACCACTGAGCCACCAGGGAAGCCCTATATTGACCTTTAAAATATCATTTAATTTGGCTTAGATCAAAGCCATAGTGGTTATTGAGAGGATAGAGGTACTAACCCTGCTCAGGGTGGACGCTCTGCTAGTGGTGATAGCTGGGAACAAATGCTAAGGCTGCTTTCACACACAGCGTTTTTCGTTTCTTTCCATGGGGCTCTCGACCATTTTTTTTTTTCTCTTTTTTGCCTTTCCCGCTCTTCCCTGACTCCGCAGGCACCTATGCACGTTGCTTAGCCCTGTTGGTGATAGGCGGGTCCTTGACCCCTCGGGGGGACAGTTGTACATGGAGCCCCCACCCCATGGCTTTCCTCTCCAGCTGAGCCCACTGATGCGTGGAAGAGGGCCCACCTCCTGAACCCAGACTGTCTTCGTTAATTAGCGTACATTGATTTATTTATGAGCACCAGGGCTTCACCAGAAGCAATCTGTCCTGTCTCTCTGGGTAGCACAACTGAGGAGCTGGGTTGAAGGCGTTCTGTCAGCTAAGGAATTCCAGCCATTTTCACCTGTTCTTATTGCTTGTAGGGTGGTGGGAATGCATGAGCTCATTATCCTTCCTCAGTATTCTTTTTTGTTAGTCACGCTTTTCCGTCAGCTTCAGTCATCTGAAGTAATAAACTGGCTCGTGTTGTCTCTAAAGGCTCCGAAGTGTATTTGCCCTATTCCATTGTGACTCAGTCAGTAAAGAACTGGCCTGCAATCTGGGAGATCCAGGTCCAGTTCCAGGGTCAGGAAGATCCTCTGGAGAAGGGGATGGCAACCCACTTCAGTATTCTTGCCTGGAGAATTCCATGGACAGAGGAGCCTGGTGGGCTACAGTCCACTGGATCGCAAAGAGTTGGACACGACTGAGTGACTAACACACACACACATTGGTGGATCTGCTGCCAGACCAGGAGAATTCCTCTGTAGGATGAAAAGGGGGATAAGTAAACTTCCTATCACAGTAAATTTCACAAGTGATGTTTATCCTTTAACACTTTGTGAGCATTTTCTTTTGTTATGTGGTCTATTTCCATTTCCTTTTGTAAGGAGGAAGTCAATTCTCATAGTTTTCTTAGATTTATGGCTTCACTCTCTTCTTCCCCTCTTAGACTTGAGGATCATGGCTGCAGGAAAGTTTGCAAGTCTTCCCAGAAACATGCCAGTGAATCACCAGTTCCCCCTCGCCTCGTCCATGGACCTTCTGAGCAGCAAGTCCCCTCTCGTTGAGCGTCGTGCAGATGCCTATCAAGACGTGTCTATACATGGCACCCTTCCCCGGAAGAAGAAAGGCCCCCCTCCCATCAGGTCCTGTGATAACTTCAGTCATGTGGGGACCCTCCCCCATTCCAGATCCCCACGGCAGCACTCACCTCTGAGCCATGACATCATCCAGGAGCGGCCCCTGCAAGACTGGAGAGGTGAAGCCTTCACCTTCAGGTAGCTTCTTAAATCTCACAAATGAAAATGATTTGTTTTAAAGGGCTTTAAAAAAAAGTCTCTTTTTAGGAAAAATATCAAACATACACAAAGTAGAGCAGATAGTTTAGTTAACTCCCATGGACCCTTCATCCAGCTTCAACGGTTATCAGCTCGTGGTTGGCTGCTTTTTCTGTACCCCACCTACTTTCCTTCCTTTGGTATTATTATTGTTTTCAGGCAAAGCTTTATTGTGCTCTATTATTATTTTGAAGCAAATCTCAGACTTCGTTTTATCTGTGAATATTTTGGTATATGTCTTTCAAAGACAAGGACTCTTATTTTAAAAAACATATAGCTACAGCATAAAAAACTAACGTGTAAAAAAAGAACCGTTTCTTAATATCATCCAATTTGGGGAATATTAAGAGTATTTTAAGGTCAGCTTCCTGTATCATTAAATCCCACAGAATGAACCACAGCATTTTTTTTTTTTGCATCAGATTATGAACTGCATCCGTCCATTTCTATAGAGATGCCAGGATTTCTATAATTAGGATGTCTATAATTGTGTAGGCATCCCCATTGTCCAGAGCATGCCTATGAAACCTTCCATAAGCTGAGATGGTGTGAAGAAGTAGTTACCCTAGGACACATCATACTAATGGATGCATAAAACTAATGGAGATAAAGCACAGATGCTCATGGACAGCTCAGGGCCAGGGTGACTTGATGCTGAGATGCTGCGTGTAGTTCTGGAGGGAACTTGGTGGTGCTACTCTTGCTGCCCTGTGTGTGCACCACCTGTGCAACAGCTTCCTGAAAACAGACGCTGAACGCTATTTTCATTATTTCACCTTTTTCCACAAAAGCAAAATTCCTCTTTAGACTTCTGTTAGTGAAATCAAGTACTAATGTAGGTCATTTTGTAAAAGCAAAGTGTTGTCAAGCGCACTTTAAAAAGTGGGGATACCTGTGTTTAGTTGGCAACAAGCTGAAATAAAATTTTGTTTGGTTTTGGATCCATCATCAAGTCAGCTTCAGAATACCTTAGAACAGGAATTGATTTCTTCTTCTGTCCACCAGGGACCTGGGTAAATAAGCCTCCTGGTCGTAAAGGCTTTTTCTTTGGGTCTGAAATGGGCCTAGTTGTGACCCTGCTGGTGGAGCTGGTTTAGGACCGCTGCACCCCATTTTCTGTTGAACAAGACCAGCAGCCAGTGCTGTCGGCAAGCAGGGGGATGGTTTCTTCTGCTGTATCTCCTGACATCTCTCTCTCTGTCCAGCCCAGTAGCAAAGAAAACCGCTTTGGTCCTAGCTCATTTATTTGTTCAATACCTGTATATTGAACACCTGTGTTAATTAGAATATGTTGATTTTGTAAGCACTATTGCTTCACCAGGAAAATTCTGCCCATATCCTTTGAATATCTTAACTAAAGGGCTGGTCTGACATAGTCGACATTTTAGCTATCAAATCATTGCCCTCTTACAGGGTGGGGAAATATGTGCCCTGACACGATAGCAGTGGAACATGAGAAATGGTGTCCTCCCAGAGCAAACATTGTAATGAAGGATCCAGATAATAAATACAAGTAAATAAACAAGACAATGGCAGATTATAGTCAGTGATATAGGAAAAACAGTAATATGTTGGAGATTTATTGGGGTTATATTTTTTTATAGAGTGGACGGTTTCTGAGGAGAGGAGTCAGTGGAAGGCTGTCCAGGCATAGGAAGAACAAGTGCAAGGAACCGGGGGTGGGAACATGTTTGAAAAACTCAAAACAAGCTAGGGTGACCTGTGGCTGGAGTGTGGCATGTTGAGAGACAAATAATACACAGGTTGGGAAAGGACTAGACAGGCAAGAGTTCAGAATGAGTTGTATAATTGCAGTATTACAGGAGAAGATAAGTGGAAGCCCAGATAGTTTCTGGAGAAAGCACTGGAGAGTCTGCAGTGTTTCTTGACATCAGACCCCACAGTTTCCCATGGTGTTCTGGGCATCAGATGGTTCTGCTCTGCAGAGTCTAGGTGGGTGGTCTGCTGATGACAGGTGCGCATGGAAGCTCACACCTGTGCACGGTAATGTTGATATCACATCATGGGCACCTGATGCACTGTGATGCAGATGCAGAGCCATCACTGCCCTGTCTTAAGGGGGCTATGAGGCAGCAAAGGAAAATAACTTCCAGCTAGCCAGAATTAAGCCCAGGCTGGAGTCAGAACCGCTATTACCTGGCTTCCTGTGGCCACTTTTTATTTATTGAGTTAAACTCTATATTGAGCTAGATATCCATGGGCTACCACATGGAGATGGTTCACAGAGTCCAGGCTAGGTGTCTGCTCTTACCAGGGGGATCTTCCAGGGGCCGGGAGTAGTAATGGAGTCACCCTTTGTAGCTTGAGGAGGTTCTCAATAAACTCCTGAGGCCTAGGCTGTCAACCTGCCAGCAATTCAAAGCTTTTTAACGGGAAAACTAACATGGACATAGATCAGATCTCAGATCTTATCAGAGGTGGACACAAGTCATGAGTTTAAAGTCCAGGCTGTGGAAGCCTTAACAAGTACTGCTGGTTTAGGTTTGTTTCTGATTCAGAATTACGTTCATCTAAATCCACGTGTTTTTTTCTTAACTTAAAATACCTTATTGTTAAAGGTCAGCTCAGGAAGTAATGCACATCCTTCAAAATTATGCTGAGTGTCAAAGGATCTAAAGTCCTCTTCCCCCACTCTGCAGCCTTATTGTTAATGTATTTTGTTTACCTGACACATCTTAAAAATATCCTGAGTTGTTCTCAGTTTTGAGGACTTCAAAGCACCTTATATTCTTTTTTTTTTCTCCCTAAATCCTTTCAAGTATTCCTAATAAGATTATGAGCTGCCTCAGTTACTTTTTGGAACAAGTCAGAGTGTCAACAAGTAACATTTTGTGAAAGTGAAAAGCTGGGCACAGGCTGTCTGAATGAGAACCTGAGCCTCTAGAGTGGGAAGTGTGACTAAGGTGCTGGACAGAATTACCTCCAGAGAGAAACAGCATTTCTATTCCTAACTCAGCTCTGACAGCCCGGCAGAGCTGTGAGACCCACCACCCTGGTTCACTCACTGCTGGAAGCTGGGAGCCGTGTGTGTTTTAGAGTTCTGAATCCCTGACTCTAGGGACCTAAGACTAGTTAGGTCTACCTTTAACAAGATTATTGGTTTCTTTCTTTTTTTTTTTTTTTTTTTTTTGCCTTGTTTCAGATAAACTCTTTTGGCCTTATTTCCTTTCAGTGTGAATTCAGGGGTTAACTTCAGCTAAGAATAGCTGAAGTTCAACTTGCCCAGATGCCAAGCCTGCAAGCCTTCCATTCCATCACACTTGGGGTTGGCATGATGATGGTGGCCATCTTGGGGAGTGACCCCCCCCCAACTCCTCATGTGGGCCTGCCTATACTCAGAGGGAAGTGCTCCAGACAGCACCTCCTTGTCTTGTGAAATATTCTAAGTTGCAAGTTCGCTGTTTTTCCAACAAATTTGTTTACTTTGTTAATCACTAAAAAGTCACCTTTATGATTTAATATTAAGTAAATATCGACCCTGTGGAAGGCCCCAGGCAAAGCAGAGGAAGTCTTCCTTTTGACCTAACAATTTGCATTAATAAGCTGTCATATAAACATGTGTCATACTGTTTATAATAGCCAGGACATGGAAGCAACCTAGATGCCCATCAGCAGACAAATGGATGAGGAAGCTGTGGTACATATACACCATGGAATATTACTCAGCCATTAAAAAGAATTCATTTGAATCAGTTCTAATGAGATGGATGAAACTGGAGCCCATTATACAGAGTGAAGTAAGCCAGAAAGATAAAGACCATTACAGTATACTAACACATATATATGGAATTTAGAAAGATGGTAACGATAACCCTATGTGCAAAACAGAAAAAGAGACTCCGATGTATAGAACAGACTTGTGGACTCTGGGAGAAGGCGAGGGTAGGATGTTTCAAGAGGACAGCATCGAAACACATATATTATCTAGGGTGAAACAGATCACCAGCCCAGGTTGGGTGCATGAGACAAGTGCTCGGGCCTGGTGCACTGGGAAGACCCAGAGGGATTGGGTGGAGAGGGAGGTGGGAGGGGGGACCGGGATGGGGAATACATGTAAATCCATGGCTAATTCATTTCAATGTATGACAAAAACCACTACAATGATGTAAAGTAATTAGCCTCCAACTAATAAAAATAAATGAAAAAAAAATCAAAAAAAAAAAAACGTGTCATAGTCACATGAATTATTATTCCCTTACATTTTATAGTTATAAAATATCTTCCTGTTCATAAGTTATCTTGTTTGAACATCATAACCCTATGTGACAGCAGATTTCATCATTAGCAGCAGCATCAGGTTGTCATCAATACAGCTCAATGGTTCAGGGATTGAATGGTTGAGGCACCTAAGATTAGACCCTGTTGTGTGACTGAGCTAGGATTAGGACTCAGAAACTGTCATAGTGGCTTCCCCAAACACTGTGCTCTGTAGCCTTGCAAGAAGGCTGGCTCTGCAGTGGGCATCCTCTGAGTTATCTTCTCGCATGAACACTTCAGTCCCCAAGGTCTGACTGCAGCGTCTGAGACACCCCCCTTGAAGAGGCCAGAGCCTTGGCCGCCAAGAGCAGGCAGAAGGCGGGCCTGGAAGGGGAACTGGTCTCCTTGTTCCGAGACCCGTATCTCTTGGCTCTGTTGTTATCTTGGCTGCCCTTGGATATACTTGTGGTTTGAAAAGTAGCCAAAGTGAGGAGCCCAACGCTCTTAAACCTGCTGCTTGGTGTCACAGAAGGAGCCTTTGTTCTGCAGGCTGAGCAAGGCTTCTCTGAGCAGTCTGCAGATGGGATTTCCTCTTGACATTAGCGTTGTTTGGCTGGCGTCCCTTGGGTTCATCTGTCTTCAAGGATGAATTTTTATTTCAATCTGAGACCTTCCTTGGGCTGAGAGGAGACCAGTTCCTGTTATGGGAGGTCAGCATTGCC